CTCCTCAGGGAAGCAGGTCCTCGGGAGTTGGTAGACTCTGAGGACAATCCCAAAGTTAGTGTAGTGATTACAAAAGACCTTTCGATCGCCTAAAGCACTAGACAGGTGAGGGAGACTCTAATAGCCCTTACTCGAGGCATTTTTTGTAGAAGGATCCTCGATAACCCTGAAGGTAGAACAAGTCCTGTCTGCCCAACGAAAGGTCTGTCACGATTTGGTCCGTCTTCGGCACAGTGGAGAAGGCCAGAGCATAAGTTCGTCCAGTTCACCGTGGGTTTCTGGGGTTCAGCAGTGATTTGCTGACAATCGTGTATATGTCAGGACACCCCAAATCCCCACTGGCAGCGCTGATGCCCCTCAAACAGGGCACAGAAAGTCGGAGGATTGCCTGAGGGATACACAAGAGTTTAGGGTTGTCGGGGTTGGGGTTGACCTCGTCCTCCAATCCCCATAAGGGGCCACGGTTTAGGCTCATGATCAAGTTCTGCCTATTCTTGGAAGCAGAATGGAGTATGCAAGAGTGACGGCGATCGCTTCTAAGTTCCCTGGCCCTGTAGATCCGTTGCCCGGATGGGCTCTCCCGGACAAGTAGCCGCGAAGCTGACTTCCAGTTCGGCACAGGCATGGGTGAAATGCTTCAACACGAAAGGCAAGCTGAGGCCATGGCTTTCAGCCGGATTTAGCCCGCTTTAGAGGTTTTGGATGTCTCGATGGTCGATTGTGGCGCGCTTTGGGCTCGCATGTTGGGGCCCTTGAATTCTCATTGAAAAGCTGCAGCTACGAGGGGCAACACATGGGATTGAGGCTTTGCTGGGCCAAGCCGCTAAACACAAAGCCTGGATCAGCGGTTTCTAGATTTTGGTTAGAGCGTACGGTGCCGTTGCAAAGGGGTGCACGAGGTTGGTTCAGCAAGTTCGAATGCTTTACTCAAGTCTGCTCTTGGGTTTATATGGGGTTGCCCTAAAACCGTCCTCTGTAAGTTAATGCAAAGCTGGGTTCGAACATATAAACTTTATGCAAAACCTTCATATGCGAAAGCTGCCGCGCAAGAGTTGTGACAGGGAACGCTATGGGTTGCTTGTATTTCTTTGGGCCCTCGTGTAGCTCTGATCTGAATAAGGACCCTTCTAAACCATTCTAGACTTCTAGAGCTGTTTCTTAAACTGCTTGGTATAAGAGTCTTTCTACAGCTTGCATAGATACTTCGTTGCGCGCCAGAGCGCGGAAGCAATGCAAAAGCAGCGCGAAAGGGGATGTATGTAAAGGTAAAGGGCCAACACGGCGAACATAAACAGATGACGGTTGGCATTGATGGGCCGGCACGACGCCACCGACGTTTGTCAGCAGCATCATAATAACAAGAACAATGACAAACTTGATTACATGTTCATCAGCACCGATATGGATGCAGAGTGATTGACAGACTTCGCATGGCCCTATGCATTCTACATGGTTCAACCGAATTCTACAACATGTAAGATGCCATGCCATGTAAACCAGGGGGCCTGATCTTTAACATCGGTTTGGGGGTACCTGATACATTAATCACACACATTAGGCAACCCGAAGGAATAATTAGCTGTAAAACATACTGTCATACTATGAAGCCCTATAAGCGTAGGCGTCATCCCGTCTCAACTCAGCCCTAGATGTCGCGAGAGTGCGTGAATGTCGAGCCCGCACAGACTGCCCATCTAATTACGTCAAGCCTCAACCTGAATAACCTTCCAAACCCCCAAGCATCCAACTGTAAGTAGCCCTGTCCCCGGTGTGCGCAGGATCTCGGAGCAGGACTTCATTGCCGCTACGCGGGAGATCGGCTTCCGCGGCCGATCTTCTGCGATTTGTGGAGCGTCTTCTGAAAGATACTACCAGTTTCTACCATTGGCATTGCGAATGTTTGTTTTCTTGTTTTTATTTGTTTCTCCCGCTCTCTCTCTCTGCTTCCCCTCTCTCCTTCCTCTCTCCCTCTCTCTCTCTCTCTCCTGTCTGTCTCAGTCTCTCTCTCACTCTCTCTGTTCTGTAACACAGAAAAAGTTTAGACTTGTGTGTAGCATTGTATAACTCATCGTACCACCATTCGGGGATCCTTCCCTTGATATTAAGACAAGAATAACCTTGTTATTCTTCTCATTGGCCCCATTGCCTCAAAGCAGTGTTCAGGTGATTGGGGGTTCAGATGGGCCGAGCAAACTCGAAGGTTTAGACTGTGTGCTGGCAGGCAATGCATCTCGCCTCTTTTCGGAGCTGGCTACAGAGAAGGCTTCTCGTCGCCATGGGGTCGCGCACGGATGCAGGGACTCGGGTCAAGAGTTTAAGGCCTAAGCCCTCAACTTCCTATGCCTTGAAGTTAGGACGGTTAGGGTTTCTGTTCCATGGCATCGGGTCTAGAGTGTCAGATCTCGGCTTCCGTGATTGCGATTCAAAGTAGCTTCGTTTCGGTGTTTGCTTAAAAGAGGGGAGGGTTTGGGAGTTGTGCGCTCGTACAGATCAGTTCTGCAGTGCCCGAGGCTTGGGATAGGCCTGAAATCTAGGCTTGGATGGCAAGGCATAGCTTGCTTTGGTAGGCCCGACCCCTCCCGTGATGATGGATCTGCTTCGGTTGCGCTGGATCGTGGTTCTTCCAAGCCGTAGATGCCGAATGAAACCCCAAACCGAATGCTGTAGCAGAGAATTTCTCGATTCAGATCCCCAGCCGCCAACACCCACAGCATCAGCCGTCTGGGGATTTGGAGCTTACCTGGCCCATGAGAAGTAGTAGTCAACCAAGTAAAGTAGTTGCATTGAATGGGGCCCTGGCCCTCGCAGACCCCTAACGAAACCCCCTATTGCCCCTTATGCCTATAAAGACCCAATGAGTCACAAGGAACACCCATAAACAGACCGTAAGGAACGCTTTTGAAACCCCTAGCTGTCGTGTACCCTAAACCCCATAAACCTGAAAGGCCAGCACCGGTATCTCCCGCGGGGAGTTTGGCTTCCTCCACATTTGGAGCCTGGGCTTTCCTTAAGCGGTGGAGGAGTTTGCATTTTGAAGAGTTGTGGGCTTTGGGGTCCTTGGCTGGTGGGGAGTTCGCATTTTTCCGCAGAGCTTTGCGAGTTGAGGCTGTGGTTTTGTCCAGGGTTTCAGTTCGGTCTTCGCACGAGATATGGGAGCCTCGGGATTTCACACCGGAGCCGCCAAACAAGTTCAAGAATTCAACAATTGAGTCAAACCCAAGGTTCCGAGACGATTCCAAAACCAGCTGGGATCATAAACCTTTATCTGCAAGCCTGAACCGTAATCTAAAACTGTAAGTTCGAAAGCCCCGGCAAGCAGCCCATGCATTCAAAACCTGACCGCATATTAAGCCTAAACCCTAAACCCTAAAAGTCTGCTTTGAGTTTAGGATCGCCAACGGACAGCCTGATCGCATCGGCAGCGAAGAGAAGGAGTCGCGTTTCCCGGCCATCGCGAGAAACGCAGGGCTTCGTGATTTTGGGGTTCGAGTCGCGGGGTTTAAGGCTTCGGGTGTTTCGGATTGGCGTTGCTTTTTCTTGCAGGACACCTAACGGCATGGAGAGATTCTTAGCCAGAGAGGCTTATGCTTCCCTAAACGAGGTCTGCGGAGTTTTGATGTCGTTGGGGGGTTTCCAGTTTCTGCTGCTGGCAACCGAGACTGCATTGCACAGCAGGCGACTCAATATCTCTGTCCATCTTACTATCAGTATTTTTGTCTTTCGTTCTGTTGGTGTTCTCATTCCTGTGGCGGTATGTAGCTCTTCTTCGTTTTGTCGCTGCGTCAGGATTTCATGACAAAGTCAAGCCTCTAGTTACCGTGGACTTTAAGTAGATGTACCCGTCGGCCGGTTCATGGAACCCCACAGACATGGTGAATACATAAATGTGCACACTACAATAAGCGCGTACATGTATGTACACACATGCACTTGTAGTTCTCTCTTCATTGGACGTTATGCTATGTCTTCGTGTTATCAGAATGGCAGAATCCAGCATTCTAGATCACTGCAGCTTTGGTGCAAGGTTGGGCAAAGCCAGTGGAGCAGTGGCTGCCGCCTGTGAGTGCACCAGAGGAGCTGTGGACGCAGGGGATATTAGGTGTCCGGGTTACTTAGTGTTCGTCGCTTCCGATATTTTCCGATCTTCAACAGTTCGTGATTTTTCTTAAACATGGCCCTAAATGTCGTCCCTGAACCAACCGCAAACCGTAGCCCCTAGCCCCCGAGCCTTCCCTCAGGAGAAAGACTGGCGAAGACAGTTCAAGGCCTTCCCAATCGGGCTTCCGGGGGATGCAACAACCTATTGAACCTGCGGTTTAAGGGCTCTATACTGGCCATATACCCCTTAAACATGGGAGGATAACCTGTTTCGCAGGGTTTGGGACAGCCGGCCGAGGTCTTGGGAGCACTTTCCTTATACCTCCACATCACTTTTGGTGGATTCCTTTCATTATTCCTGACGACTGTTTGAGGCGCTTCGAAACTATAGACCCTAACCGACCTTATAGACCCTAGACCTACGACACTGCCGATTGATACAAACTGTTATCCTGGGCCTTCCGGTTTTGGGCCTTCACTGTCCCCGAAGACCGAAGTTTCTCAGATTCGGCAAATCCAGGTAGTTCTTACATCCTGGGTCAGCTTCTCAAACATCGCGGCTTAGGCTTTCTTTGATGGCTCACAGAAACGTCTCGAGAGTTCAAAGGATTGGTCTACACCCCGTGCTATCTAAACAACAGTGAAGTCTCCCCGATGTGCTGAACCATCCTTTTCACTGTGTATGAGACCTGCATTGTGGGCTTGCCCTGACTGGGCGGGAGACAAGAAAGCATTGTAAACATTTACCAACGACCCCGCCTGCACGCCCTACACCCTAAACTGTAACACCACCCTAGAAAAGCATGGAACCCTAACCCTAAACCACAAGGCCTTAAATGATGGTTTAGGGGTTTTTGTCGCCCTAAACCACTTTATCCTGAAGCCGTAAACCCGTGTGACAGACGCTGCTGCTCAAATCCTACCAGAACTACGTGCGCGCCTGGCGGCAAGGGCTGGATCGTGACCGGAATGGGCAACTGGACTACAACGAGCGCCCTGGCTGAGTCGTAGGATCGTAGGGTATATTATGGTATATTTATCATGAAAATGATTATTGCTTATTCGTCAGTAGAGGATGTAGAATGTAGAAGCAGTTCGTTAGGGTCTATAAGGTTTACAGTCCAAAACCTGTTCCTGTTGCACCCTGAGTGCTCCCGTACATCCATGCGGCTCCACGTCGATGGTGCCTTGGAGCAGTTTGCATACCTGTAGTTTGTCAAAGTACGAACGTAAACGCGGACCGTTCCAAGATGCAGGCTCCCAGATTCCATCGCCGCCGAATTCAGTGCCGACCCTACAGCCAAAGCCCTATCACACTCTAAAGCGTCCCAAAATCCCAAAACCCTAAACTCTAAGCCCGAAAGCACCTACGCTACTAGAGCCGATATAAAAATCAAAGACTTGTACTGGTTTTCTCAGGTTCAAAATGGCCGTGAAAGATGTCGGCTTCGCTGGGAATGCCCGTGAGCTGTGGCATCAGCTGGATGAGAATGGCAACGGGGTGGTGGGGGCCTCATAGGGCTGAAGGTCTAGGAAAACATAATGTCTACAGTGTACAGCTTTCACTGCTTCAGCTGCAACCTTGCATGCAACCCAGGAGGGCGGATTAGTTGATGTAGCAAATGTAGTAATGGAGTACCATTATGTGCCGTCGTTGTCCAAGCGGAGCATGAAGCCAAATCTCTGGACAAGTGACACCCAACTAGAAGCCGCCACCACCACCAACAACAGCACCAGCAGCATCAACGACGACGACAAAACGACGACAACAGCGACCACAGCCACAACCACAGCCACCACCACCACCACCACCACAACAACAACAACAACCTCAACAACCTCGACGACGACGACGACAACGACAACAACAACAACAACCTCAACAACGAGTACGACGACGACAACGACAACGACAGCAAGAACAGCAGCAACAGCAACACAGCAACCACAACCACAACGGCAATGACAGCGACAATGGCAATGTCAACGACGCTCGGCAAAAAAACATATTCCAAAAGCAATGCCGCCAAAACGGAATGCATTTCCAGAATAAAGCCCCGAAGCTGTTGAGCACTTCACAGTGCACCGACGGGTCATTGCCGAGGTGAGCCTTTGGGAGCTGGACCTCGACACAGCCGAACCTCTTCCGCGCTTTAGCCCGTTACACACCCTCTTTTCGGCAAAATTAAAATTAAGGGTTAAGGGTTTGGGGCCCCGCACCGTTACACCCTCTTGTCGGCATGTAGGGCTACTGGTGAGGTTTTCGGCTCCCGTGCCGTTTCTGGCGACTATACCAGCTAGCTTTGTAATGCTGCTGCACATCGTCTGAATATGTGTTTTTTTCTTGTGCATGTCTTTCAGTGTCTGATTGGGTTTGTTCGGGGTTGGGCTTCCGTCAAGTAGTGCCTGGCATGTTGAAATTGAAAGGATTCCCTCAAGAGTTCTTTTGCCGGCTGTGGTGGCTTGGAACGCCATCCCGATGCAAGATCATGTGAGGATAGCCCAGAATCCAAAACACTGTAATGAACCGTACCGGCAGCAGCCAAGCACAGAAGCAGCCTGAATTGGCACGACAGCTATGGGCAGTGCCAGAGCCCCCCCACCCACCCACCCACCCACCCACCCACCCACCCACCCACCCACCCACACCCACCCACACACCCACACACCCACACACCCACACACCCACACACCCACACACCCACTCACCCACACACACACACACACACACATACATGCCCACACGCCCACACGCCCACACGCACA